GACCTAGGCTTGACATGACCTAGGCTTGACATGACCTAGGCTTGACATGACCTAGGCTTGACATGACCTAGGCTTGACATGACCTAGGCTTGACATGACCTAGGCTTGACATGACCTAGGCTTGACATGACCTAGGCTTGACATGACCTAGGCTTGACATGACCTAGGCTTGACATGACCTAGGCTTGACATGACCTAGGCTTGACATGACCTAGGCTTGACATGACCTAGGCTTGACATGACCTAGGCTTGACATGACCTAGGCTTGACATGACCTAGGCTTGACATGACCTAGGCTTGACATGACCTAGGCTTGACATGACCTAGGCTTGACATGACCTAGGCTTGACATGACCTAGGCTTGACATGACCTAGGCTTGACATGACCTAGGCTTGACATGACCTAGGCTTGACATGACCTAGGCTTGACATGACCTAGGCTTGACATGACCTAGGCTTGACATGACCTAGGCTTGACATGACCTAGGCTTGACATGACCTAGGCTTGACATGACCTAGGCTTGACATGACCTAGGCTTGACATGACCTAGGCTTGACATGACCTAGGCTTGACATGACCTAGGCTTGACATGACCTAGGCTTGACATGACCTAGGCTTGACATGACCTAGGCTTGACATGACCTAGGCTTGACATGACCTAGGCTTGACATGACCTAGGCTTGACATGACCTAGGCTTGACATGACCTAGGCTTGACATGACCTAGGCTTGACATGACCTAGGCTTGACATGACCTAGGCTTGACATGACCTAGGCTTGACATGACCTAGGCTTGACATGACCTAGGCTTGACATGACCTAGGCTTGACATGACCTAGGCTTGACATGACCTAGGCTTGACATGACCTAGGCTTGACATGACCTAGGCTTGACATGACCTAGGCTTGACATGACCTAGGCTTGACATGACCTAGGCTTGACATGACCTAGGCTTGACATGACCTAGGCTTGACATGACCTAGGCTTGACATGACCTAGGCTTGACATGACCTAGGCTTGACATGACCTAGGCTTGACATGACCTAGGCTTGACATGACCTAGGCTTGACATGACCTAGGCTTGACATGACCTAGGCTTGACATGACCTAGGCTTAACATGACCTAGGCTTGACATGACCTAGGCTTAACATGACCTAGGCTTGACATGACCTAGGCTTGGCATGACTTAGGCTTAACATGGCCTAGGGCTTAACATGACCTAGGCTTGACATGACCTAGGCTTGGCATGACTTAGGCTTGACATGACCTAGGCTTAACATGACCAAGGCTTGGCATGACTTAGGCTTAACATGACCTAGGCTTGACATGACCTAGGCTTGGCATGACTTAGGCTTAACATGACCTAGGCTTGACATAGCAAGGAAGGAACAAAACATGCATACAACACTTAGGCAAATCACATAAGCACAAAACAAGACTGGTACCTTTACTTAGGCAAAACAAGTCAAAGTCTGCAAATGCAAGCTTAACATGACAAAATCATGCAATGTACATGAACATGACTAAGACATGAATGTGGGTTATTACACTAGAGATCTTGCAAATCCTGCAAAAAAAAAAAAATATAAGATATATGTAAAAATTAATTTACTAATAATATACATTGATTAAATTAAAATTTTACGTTCTTAAAGTGAGCCATAATTATACATATTCGTACTTTAGCTAATAGAGTACAATAATTACTTTGGTTTTCTAATTGACTTATTATCTATACTATATATTAAGCAAAAGGGAGTTTCTAACTCCCAAGCCTTGTGGGAGCTCCAATATCTCAATCTAAATTTTCTAATTTTTTGATTAAAAAAAAAAACTTAGCATTTATTAACTTCTCCCAACCCCCAAGTCTTACCCTCATAATAACATTTTAATACATTAAGAACAAGCATAAAAAAAAGGGTGCTGTTATGGTGTGCAACCCCTTAAGGTTGCACACCATATGCAACCAACACAAAAGGTGTAAGTGGAAGGTGTAAACATAAAACAGGGCAACAAACAGAAAGGCGTAAGTGTGAGGTGTAAGTTGCACACTTAAGAAAAGTCCTAAAAAAAATTCCTTGAAAAGTCCAACACATATGAATTCCTTGAAAACTCCCAACACATATGATTATTATTCCTCATAATAACACTTTAATGCATTAAGAACAAGTATAAAAAAATTCCCTGAAAAGTCCAACTCATATGATTATTATCAAAATATTAAACTTTAATATAATATACAAAAAAAGAAGACATTTAATTCCTTGGAAAGCCCAACACATAGGATTATTATCAAAATATTAAACTTTATATAATATAAAAAAGAAAAAAAAGAAGACATTTTTTTAAAAAAAAAAGACATTTAAAAATCGCAATTCACATATATAGATAATTATAAACACAATCCGTGCATAGCACGGGTGATATTCTAGTATATAAAGACACAAAAGGTAATTATTGTGTTAATTTTTTATAAACAAAATTAAAAACTTAAATTTTGACATAGATTGACATAGTCCAAATCACACGTCACGTTCAACAATCTCTTCAAATTGTCTTGATGCTATTTTTGCCATAGATCTATGACAACATTAAACTATAAAAAATAAGATGAAATTGACAAAAAAATGAAATACATAACTTTTGTTATACATACAAACCTATAAGTAGATTAGCTTGTAACAACGTTGCATATATCTTTGTAAGCTTTCAATTTTTGTATCATTCGTTGCCTATAAAACTGAGGCAAAATATCTTACTTCCTTGTAAGTTGATTGTTTGACAAATTTATGAAATCTAAGATTAAATTGTAAATTTACAAATATGAATATATGGAACATAGTAGTAAACTTCATAAGGCTTGATTTTTACCACATATATGTCCATATTGTCTTTGCTGCATATACTTGTTCTATAAGATATGATAGGATTTCTGTTAAAAAAAAAGTACGATAACTATTAGCAATGAAACATATTGAAATGATTCATATAAAATGCCGCAAACACGTTATCATACTGATGTTGTCGTTGCCTCAAAAGCTCTTGCACAATTAATTTTCCCAATTATTTTTTATCAACTTTAATAGAGACCTTCCATCCAAGACTGTATATGGAGAACTGTTTGACCTACATTAATTTAAAAGGTACAATAAAACTCAAAATATATGCGAATGTTGTCAGACTAAATAGCAAAAATTTTACAAACATAATTTTTTGAACATAAGTGAAGCCAATACCTGATTTGTAACTTTCTTATCTGCAACTATATTTGCCTCCTCTTGATAATTTTCCCAAAGTTGAAGTAGTTTTATTTTTTCAAGTATTCCTACAATTAATAATTATATGAAGATATATTATAAGTACATTAATTGTAGATTAAAAAAATGACATAATATAAGCTAAATAAGAGCATATTTAGTACATACCTCCTGTATCAATAATTTGGTAACAAAACATCTTTGTAGACTACATTGCGAGTATACACTCCTTCTTCATTATTAATTGAACCCTTTTTAACCAAGACTTTCGTTGTCTGATCTGACACCCCTCGAGATAAAACAACATATAGTTGTCCATGAATAAATATATGATCCGGAAGGTAAATTCCCACATGTGGAATTGTTTGGCCTTGTGATTTATTTATTGTCAAAGCAAAACTAAGGCGAACTGGAAATTGTGTGCGAGTCATTTCAAATGGAAGTTTTAAGTTTTCCGGAGCCTTTAATGGAATGCGATGCAAGAAAACTCTCGTGCCTTTGAAATGTCCTGTTAAAATCTCTGAATCTATGAAATTATCATTCAAAGCTCGACACAGTAGCCTTGTGCTATTGCACAAACCAGAAGAAAGGTCAAGGTTCCTTAAAATCATAATTGGGGCTCCAACTTTCAAATGCAATGCATATGGGGGCATTCCTCCGGGTGAAATGGAATTTAAAAACTCTTGTTGATACAAATTTTGGGTATCATTTTCAACTTTATCAAATGAGTGGTACACTCTTGATACTCCCAGAAATCTTTGAATGATTTTCTCATTGAGCTTGTCGAAATCTTCATTGCGAGGAGTTATTATGCCCCTACTAACCATATACCCGGCATCAAAGGAATGGTTTCTGATATCAGGATAAATTTCTTATAATAGTCGAACTATTGATTTTTCGCCGTTCCATGGTATTGCCATCGATGTTGGTACTTTGATCATTTTATCTACAATGGTAGGTTGTACGCCATCTCCAACACGTAAAAGAAATTCACCAAACTGTTGATCATTTATAAATCGCATATTTTGCTTTAAACGAAGTATTTGAATGTGACTCCAGAGCGATGATTTGATTATCGATGCAACAATAGTTTCAGCTTTTGTACCTTTAGGAACAACTGGAAGTACTTGCCGAAAGTCACCACCAAACACCATAATTTTTCCACCAAATGGATAATCAACACCAGTGATGTCTATGAGTGTTCGATTCAAAGCTTCAAAAGCATAACGATTCGTCATTGTAGCTTCATCCCAAATGATGATTGTTGCACATCTAATTAATTCTGCCAAATCTGATTGTTTAGTAATGGAGCACACAGATGAAGCCTCTAGATTTAATGGGATCTTGAATCTTGAATGGGCTATCCTTCCACCAGGTAAAAGTGTAGCTGCAATTCCAGAAGTTGCTGTTGCAATGGCAATTCGACCTTGACTTTTCACTGAGGCCAACAGTGCATGATATAAATATGTCTTTCCAGTTCCTCCTGGTCCATCCACAAAGAAGATTGCACCAGTATTGGATTCCACAGCTTCCATGATTGAATTAAATGCTAAACATTGATCATTATTTAACGTGGCAATGGAATTTAAGTCTTCTCGAGGAGTTACAATGGAAAGCTCATCTTGTATGACCTTTGGAACTGTTGAATTATCATCCAAATTCATTGTCATCTCAGGCAAATCGTATTCTGATATGTTCTTATTATGCAGGGTTTTGTAGCAAGAGACAGTTTATGTCGTGCAGGGTTTTGTTAAGGATATACATATTATTCATACTGTTTGAAGATATGTAATCTTCAATCAAGTAAGGATAAATTTCATCCCACAAACTTTGCACCCCTGTTGGCACACAGTAAACCAAAATTGTAATGAACAATCTCCTTAATGCTGATGACATGTGCATGGTTGCGGCTTCTAACAAACAATGTCGTATGCTATCGTCATGCTCTAACAAACCATGATGTTCAGCTGCTTGTTTAAAAGTTGGGTACGCAATTCCATTAACCATTAATATATGGTCGAATGATTTTGGTCCTCTGATATGATTGAGTAAAATTCTTAGGTAAAATCTCTTCCATTCTGATGGCGAAACTATATAAATTCTACCAATTACTCTTTGACGATTCAATCTCAACTGCCAAATCTTTGCACTATTGCACCATCTATAATGTTGAGGGATCTCTTGATATAAGTACCGATTTGCAATTTCGTCATCAACATTTAATTGAAAGAATTGGGTAAGCATTGTTCTGGAATAATACTCATCTCCTAAAACATTTGTGATGTCTTGGAACGTATAAAACCACACTTGCTACTTATTTGGTAAGTGTATTTGGAGGCGTTCTACGCTAGGGGTCATTCTGGTCATTGGAAATTTGAATATTTTCCACAATACTTCTGGAGCATAAACGCATCTTCCATCTATGAACTGTTGTACTTCGTCATAATTAGGACCTTGACGAATTTCTAGTGCAACATGATCAGGCCCTTTATAAACATATTTGTATAAATACTTCACACTTGTAACACTACTGCAAATTTCAAGATTGATATGACAATCATATTCCAAGAGCAACCATGGGTTGTACGGAATGACCCAACTATTATCCACCAAGATGCTTGGATTACTCTCTAATGGAACTGACTCCCCTTTTCTTCTTCGATAAACAGGATATGAATCGTTTCCAAGTGTAGTAATTGGAGAAAATGGCTTTGGGAAACGTCTTTTGCACCGACCATTTGTCATACACGGTGATCGTTCATTGTACATTCCACATGGGCCATGTATCATGTGTTTCAGAACTGCACTGTATAATCTAGGCTTTAATCTCTTGTCTGGAATTTCAGCTCTGACAATGTTATCATAATCGTCAAGAGTGCGTAACTTATCATTTTTATACAAAATAATGACCATGTGGGCATGTGGTAGGCCTCTTTTTTGATACTCAATAACATATGCATATGCTAGAACCTTCCTGAGTACATGTTTTGTAAGAATGTCGGTCTTCTTCTCATCAAATTTTGAATGAAATACTCTTGTCAACAAATCAGGGCAATCATGTGGTGACTGTCCAGGTAGTAACTCAGCTTTAATTTCAGGCCAATTTGGATTGCAAGTCATTGTAAGGAAAAGATCAGGTTTTCCATACTTTTGAACCAGAGCCATTGCATCTTGATATCGCTGATACATGTCTCGTGGGCTACTAATAAATGACGACAATAATATTGTTCTACGACCGACATTACCTAAACAAATTTGGATTTCATAAAAAAAAATTATATGTATGAATATAAACAAACGTGAATATATGTAGTTGTAGTGACAATTTGTACCTCCATAATTTTCACCAGCATGTACTGCATCTAGAAGACCTTGATAAAAATCTGCTCGAATGTGATTCTGATGAGTACGTATCCATCTTAATTTGTTGGACTCAATCTTCACATAATTATCTACAACATACTGTTGTAAGAGGCGACGTCCTCGAAGGAAAAGAGATTGATCACTAGGGCGAATCTGAATTGATAGTATTTGAATACTTATAAATAATTATAGATTAAATAACTTCGATGAAGTAATTTTTTGATATTATGTGTACGTCGTACCTGTAGCATATAAGAATAGAAATCACAGCATGTTACTTTTCTGCCATCATTACTTCTGCTATTTGCATCCTATCCATATGAACCATAAGGTAACAACAGAGGATACTGTAATGGATCATAATATCCGACAATATCAGGAATATTTAGGAGGTGACCACTGGTTGATTGGACAATGATATCTCTTGGTCTTAAATTTTCAGCTTCTTCGCCACCTACTAAAACTGCAGCAACTTCAGGAGCAATCGGAAGGTTGTATTGGGGCCTATTACGTGGTTGTTCTTTGATCTGAAGTCTGCATTCATGTATATCTGGACACTGAGCTAATTGGCGAAACGTGTGTACAAATGGATTATGAGCATTTAAAATATTCTTTATCTTGTTAAGCAAATCCAAGTGCAATTCTTCATTTTTAGACATTCAATTCTCATTCTCGTGGTTAGTGTCATAAACATACAGTTGCAAATATCTCGATCTGTCGCTAGAATTTGGTAAGAGACTCCCAATCTTATGATATATGGATCCTTGTGCACGAAACGTGTACACACCTCGAGTTCTTGTTGCTAAGTTTCCACCAACATGAACACCCATTGAAGTGAATGAGAAAACATGATTATAAGATCGAATATTTTGTCTAAAATGACGGCCCTCCACTGTTTGGTCAGAGAAAATATCAATCATCTCATTTGGAGCTGTTACTGGTGGCAAAACAATGGTTCCATTATTACAACACATGGTAGACGTTTCACGGTGGAACAATCTTGCGTTGCAATGTCTACATGTAGTTGGAGCAGGAAACTGCATTCTTTGGAACCTTTTACTTTCATGAAAATTTCTTGCACAATTGTGTTATCTCCTATGGATAAATGATCGATTATCTAGAATATCTTCATCACTAAAAGCATCTTGATTGCGGTCGACATGAGGGATATTTCCTATAACAATGCATGTATGATGTATAGGTTTATTATTAACAGAATAGTATTTATTTGAAAGTGTTTGAGTTGCATGTTCAATATTAATTGTAATTGTACTGCATATCATATTTGCATGGCCATCTTTTTTACATTTATTGTAAATGTTGTTTGTTTTGTAAAAGTACTTAAACTAAATAATTTATTTTTACCTTCCATCTAAACTTGGTGAGGATCATCTTGTCTGTTGCCACTTGTGCTTCCATGCTCATAAGTCGAATGAGTAGGTGCATATCGGAATAAGTCGATACGTGAGCGTAGAGTCATTCTACTTTCATGACTAAAAACATTAGTCACAATTAAATCCCCTTCTTCATGAATGGATGGCAAAACTGTTGCTCTCGGCTTGCGCCATCCTGCTCTATTTCTTTTTAGGATTGCATCGAAAAAGTTTAACATGCATCCTAACAGTTAAAATTGTACATAATAAATTAAATGAATATTAATGTCAAATTTAGAAGCGTAAAAGCTTTTAAAAAAAAAAAAAAAAAAACGTTTACAAAATTTGAATACTTACTACTTGTTTGTGCATTTGTCATATTATGTGCTTGATCTAGATGAGAAGTTTGTTCAAGATTTTGCCTTCTTTGTCAATAATTTGTTCGTTGCCTTGCTAGTTGTTGTTCGCGCTGTTTAATAGTCAAAGCAGCCCTCCTTTGCCTGGCGTAATTACGTTAACTTTCTCTTTGAATTTCTCTTTGTTGCACATTAGAACTCGTGCTTTGTTCGCGAATAAATAATCTTCGCCTACGCTGAGCAAGATGACGTTGCTCCAATCTTGCTGAGCGTTGTTCAGTGCTCAAGTTTTGAAAGCGGAACTATTTGAATTCTCTTTGTAGTTGTTCAGTTTGAGCATTTGACTCCGAAGCTGAGCGTTGCCTCCTTTGTTGTAGGTATAAACGACGTCGTTCACGATTTTGTTGCTGTACATGTCTCAAATTTGATGTGTCAAGATAATCATGATTTATTTTTCCTGAGATTGTTAGCAAACTAACACTTACGTAGATGAAATTCGGCTATTTTTAAAATGTGCATACATTATATAAAATTATGTAAAAGACAATAATAATATATCCTAAGCTTTGTATTTTTATGTAAGTTTTTTTAATTGTTTATTTTTAGTAATATGGGTTACGTAGATGAAATCTAGTTATTTTAAAATGTGCCTACATTATACATTAGATACTAATTTCATATTTTCTAGTTATTTATATGTAATTATGTAAAAGGCAGTTGTACGAGCAAGAAATAATCTTCTCGTATAATCCTGTTGATCAAGTTTGCGCTCCTCTAAACGTCGTCGCTTTACTCCCTGAAAACACAAACGTGAGCTAGCCGGCTGGTGTGTGCCGGATACCTCTTCGATGCCTAAGTCAGCAAAATAGACAAATAAACAAAAGCTCTGTGTATTCAGGAATCAAAGTTGTGTTGCCTCTCCATAGGTGATGTTATGAGCTTTTATAGGTTCCGCGTGGCACAATCCTAGTAGGACTCTTATTCCTCCTTGCAGAGTCCTCCTAGGAATCACACTCCTGAAAGATAATGCTTATCCTTCAACACCCCCCTCACTGCTTAAACCAAGTGAGATGGTTTTACCTTGGTGGTATGACAAAACGACCGAGCTATCACAGCCATGCTATACTGGCTGAAATGACCGAGCTTTACCTAGCTCGGTTCTCCTCTTCACTGCGTGTACATCGGCTTCTCCTGCTGAGACCGTGCTAACCATAACGAGATTAGATCGAGCTAAACCATAGCAAGGTCCTGAGAAAAGCTCAAAATACTTCGGCCCAGAAGGGTGTGGCCGAGCTAACTGCCACCACTTTAACAGCGGTGACTGAGCTAAATACAAGGCTCTCTTGGACCGAGCTAACTACAAGGATCTTTTGGACGACAAAGCTCTTTCTGGATCGGGCTAACTACAAAGCTCTTTTACTCAGCCCTTTTGTGATAACCCCCACCACTGCTTACTGATAACACTACTGATTAGTGCTAATCTATGATTAAGCATGTTAATTGACTGACTGACTGAATTATTAAACTGATTGATTGATGGTGCTAGTTTGAATGCAATTCTATCTGTTGACTGTTAAATTATCTGTTCATGTTTTATGCTTTAAACTGCAAATTGAAGGCCTTATCGGCGTCCGAATCTGAAATTGATTGATGTTTTGTGCTAATTAAGATTTATATGATTTTATGATATATTTAATTGAAATGTGATTTGGTATGATTAAATTAGATTAAATATTAATAAATTACAAGAGTTGGCCTTATTTACAACCTTGCCACTTAGTGGCCCACTCCATATCATATTTTGAGACTTAGAATCAACACTTCTTCAGCCATTTGCTTGCACCAAACCGACTAAAGAGAGAGAGAGCTAGAAGAAAAACTTGGTTTCATCTTGATTTGCTTGGAGGCTTGGGGATTTTGGAAGATAATTGGCAAATTGAGCTTCTAGACTTGTAATTGAGAACCCAAGGTAGGATATTCAACCTCTCATTAATGTATTCAAGTTAGTTCTTAAATGGTTCTTGATTTATGGAAGAATTGAGTCTTGATTTAGTTTAATAATGTTGAATTGGAGCTTAATCCATGCATGCATGTGCATGGTCTTGCATTTTGAGGTTGTTCTTCATGAAATTCCACATGCATGTTCATATCTTGAGCTTAGTCCATGAATTCATCTTGTTTTTGAGGCAATTGAGCTCATTTGAGCTAGTAATTGAAGCTTTGAATTTGATTGAACACATGCATGCTACATTTGAAGTATGTTTTTGAAGTTTGGTTTGAAATTGGGTTTAATTGACTCACCTTTGGGCCTTGATTTTACAAATTGAGCTTTGAATCATGTTATACTATGATTTTTAAAGTGTTTTCCAGAAAATTAGTCCAAAAGGATCGAATTTGGTATATTGAAACTTGATTTTGAGCTTGAGGTTCAAATCTGGAAATTCCAGATTTTGGACTCCCGCTCAAGCGGGGTAAGTGGCGCTCGAGTGAGAAATTCACGTATCTAGCACTTTTGTTGTGTTTACAGTCCGCTCGAGCAGGGTTTTGCATGCTCGAGCGAGGACTTGTGTCACACGCTCGAGCGGGTGTCGAGCGCCCATCAAGCGTGATTTTCACACATCCAGTACTTTTGCAGTCCGCTCGAGCGGGAAAGTTTAAGCTCGAGCGGAGCCTTTTGTTTGCATGTCCGCTCGAGCGGGAAAACCCACGCTCGAGCGGGACCTTTGCTTTCTGAAAATTCTGAAAATATTTTTAAAGTGCATCTTTGCATTCTCATTCTATTCTAGGCATTCTTAGGCCTAGTTTAAGGCATCTTGATGACGATATTGATGTAGAACCACACCGAGTCAAGATAGGGATTAAGTTATTATTTCCCAACTGTTTAGCTTAGTGTGTGTTCACTCTGTAACTGTGTAGGGTTGGTATCCGAGGACGCGTACTAGCTTATCTGTAGCTCAGAACTCTGTGAGTAACAATTTTGTAAAGATATGTTCAATTGAGATTATTTTCTGAACAAATGACTGTACTGCTTTATGAAATGACACTGTTTACTGAATGAATGTTTGTCCCATTTGTGAACTGTATTCGTGGCATCCATAGCAATATACTGTTATTGCTACTGTTACAGAGATCTTTGTCGGTTCCCATGTTTGGAACCACTACTGTTTACTGATATGATGGCCATTATTGACTGTTCGGTCTGTTAAGACCTATTGTACTGTTTTGCTATTGGGTGTACCACATATGACTATTAGAGTTTCTGAATGACTGTTATGGCATGAATTATGAGCCACAAACTGAATGACTGATATACTGATAAATGACTGTTTTCAATACTGAAGGGACATTCATTCTTAACCTCTTTACGCATATGTTATTCACTGGGCTTTAGCTCACTGCTTATATATATATATATATATATAGGTGTTCAGGCACCGGACCGTTGCTAAAGCGTCAGGCTGAGTCCTTGTTTTGTCAAGCCAACCTTTGTGCCTCACTTCGAGGTTCTAGATCTGTTCAAGCTAGGGCTTTTCGGGGTATCTGGTTTTGTAACACTGTATAGACTGTTACCGTACTGTTATGGTGGGAACTCGGTCCTTAACCTGAATGCCTGTAAATAATGTATGTATGTACTGCTTTTGTATCCCATGTGAATATGTTATGAAAAGTCTTTTGCATATAGATTGTCACAGCTCATTGAACATCTTTTAATTACTGTTTTGGCTTCCGCCAGCCCCTGTACTCTGTATTTCTGTTTGACTGTTAAGTAGGCCTTCGGTAATCTCGGATTACTGGCTGGTTACGGTGCTAAATCCATAGGGGCGGGTTTGGGTTGTGACACCTTTTTATTATGGCCCACAGAACGGCCCATCACCCAGCTCGACCCAATTTACATATAAATTACCCTCTCAATTGCCCCTTAATTTCATC